ATCATGACCTGAGCCGAAGGCAGAGGCTTTAACCCACTGAGCCACCCAGGCGCCCCTCTTTTCTTTTATTTTTATAAGATTTTGTTTTGAAGTAATTATACCCAACGTGGGGTTCGAACTCACAATCCAGAGATCAAGAGTCACACGCTCCACCAACTGAGCCAGCCAGGCGCCCCTCTCTCAGATCTTATTATGGCTCCTCCCAGATCTGCTTCAGGTCTTAACTCTCATGTCACCTTCTTGGTGATCCTGGTCCTGACCAGCCTACTTAAAATAGTCACCTCCCAGGGACACCTGGGTGGTTCAGCTGGTAGAGCATACGACTTTTGATCTTGAGGTCGTGAGTTCAAGCCCCACATTGGGTGTAGAGACGACTTAATAATAGTCACTTCCCAAATCTTTCCTCTTCTGCCCTCTTTATTCCCTAGCACTCATCACCACCCGAGATGTGGTCTGTTTTGGGCGCCTGAGTGGCTCAGTTGGTTAAGCATCTGCCTTCAGCTCGGGTCATGATCCCGGGATCCCAGGATCGAGTCCCACCTTGGGCTCCCGCTCAGCGGGGAGCCTGCTTCTCCCTCTACCCCTCCTGCTGCTCCTGCTCTCTCTCACACTCTCTCTCTCACATGAATAAGTAAAAACTTTTTTAAAAAAGAATATCTATTTTATATATATATATATATATATATATATATATGACATCATATACATTCAAAGCACTAAATTTTAAAAAGGAAATACTCAGCAGCTCACCCATGTTGAATGCTGCTACCAAATTAAATTGTCACTAAATGGCTCCAACATCTGAAGACATGTCCAACCTCAGTAAGAATCACAGAAATGCAAACTAAACCCCCAATGAGACACTGTTTCACACACACCTGATTGACAGAATTGAAGAGTTCTGAAAATGGAAGAGGTGGTTTTTTTTTTAAAGATTTTATTTATTTATTCATGAGAGATGGAGAGAGAGAGAGAAAGAGGCAGAGGCAGAGGGAGAAGTAGGCTCCTTGCTGAGCAAGGCCCCCGATGGGGGACTTGATACTAGGACCCTGAGATCATGACCTGAGCAGAAGGCAGCTGCTTAAACCAACTGAGCCACTCAGCCTCCCCTGATAAATGGAAGAGTTGAAAAACATTCCTTATTTGTTTGTTTATTTATTTAAAGTAGTCTCGGGGCACCTGGGTGGCTCAGTCATTTAGCGTCTGTCTTCTGCTCAGGTCATGATCCTGGGGTCCTGGGATCAAGCCCTGCTTCAAGCTCCCTGCTCAGCAGGGAGCCCGCTTCTCCTCTGCTGCTCCCACTGCTTGTGCTCTCTCTCTCTCTCTCTCTGACAAAAAAATAGATGAAATATTAAAAAATAAAAATAATCTCTACACTCAAGTAGGGCTCAAACTCAGGACCCTGAGTTCAAGAGCTGCACACCAGGGTTCCTGGGTGGCACAGTTAGTTAAGCGTCTGACACAAGGAAGTTTTCTTACACCACAATTGTAGGTGTTGAAGCAGGCTTCCTGCTGTTCCTGCTTTGCTATCAAATTATCAAATAACTATTATGAAACTTACATTTGGAGTAAATCATAATGTTTGGAATGTTGTTGAGGCAATTCCAGGAGAGAATGATCTATGACGAGTGGAAAATGGCAGTTCAAAGGCTCCATTTGTAAAAAGTATTGAAGTATTAAAGCTTTGTAGACGATGAAAAAAACCCATAGTATATCTAAATGAATCAGTCAAAAACAACAGCAGCAACAGGAAGAAAATACATATTTGCTAACATATGCTGACAAATGTGAGTATAGACAAGAATGAATACTAACCATTATTTAATATTAAGGGATGAGAACTGTTTTGACGGGGACATGAGTGGGAAAGATAATTCACAGCATACATTTCATCCCCATTAAAAAAAAAAGTGGTTATATATTATCTATTTTATTTTTTTTAAAGATTCTTATTTATTTATTTGGCAGAAAGAGACAGCGAGAGAGGGAACACAAGCACGGGGAGTGGGAGAAGAAGAAGCAGGCTCCCTGCTGAGCATGGGGCTCGATCTCAGGACCCTTGGATCATGACTTGAGCCAAAGGCAAACGCTTAACCACTGGGCCACCAAGGCACCCCTATTATCTATTTTAGATATTAATTATTTTTAAAGTAATTTGTGCATCCAGTGTGAGGCTCGAACCCATGACCCTGAGATGAAGAGTTATATGCTCTTGCAACTGAGACAGCCAGGTGCCCCATATGTTATCTATTTTAAAACCTTAAATAAGCTTATTTAATGAAAATTGAAACCTCAGTAAAGCTTATTCCACTCCTCTGTTTTCAAATTTTTCATTGTATTTGTTGTATTTTTGTGTGTATGTATACCTACTTTCATTTCTTTAAATAATTTTTTACTGTGAAACAAACTTTACTGTGGAAAAATATTTAAAATATAAAATTCATCATTTTAACCTTTTTCATATTTCCTAAGCGATTCCCCCCAGTTTTATTGAGATATAATTGACATATAACATTGTGTTGGTTTTATTTGCTTGGTTATTTGTTTATTTGTTTAAAGGAAAATCTATGTCAATGTGGGGCTCGAATTCACGACCCTGAGATCAAGAGTTGCACACCGGGACTCCTGGAGAGCACAGTCGGTTTGCCTCTGGTCCTGATCTCAGGACCATGGAATCCAGGTCCACTTGGGCTCTGCACTCAGCAAAGAATCTGCTTGAGATTACCATTCCCTCTCCCCCTCGCCCTCCCGCTCAGGCTCTGTGCCTCTCTTTCTCTGAAATAAATTTTAAAGATCTTAAAAAAAAA